GGAAGTGGCTTTAGTTTCTCAGTGCAGTGCTTTAACCCGCTGCGCCACCAGGGAGGGCCATGCTGCTTATTATTTTTTTAAAGTGACTTTATTGAGATAATTCACATATATTTCACTCATTTAAATTTAAAAAAAAAAAAAACTAGGGCAATTCAATGACTTGGTGTATTATTTTTTGTAACTATGGAAATATATATATATGTATATATAGCATAGTTTACTGTCTTAACTATTTTAAATTCAGTGCCATTAATTACAACAGTCTTGTGCAAGCATCACTACTATTTCTAAAGCTTTCATAGTTCCAAGCAAAAACTCTATTAACCATGATGATTCAGTCTATTGTAAAGTATTTATACCAACATCTGAACTTTTTGAAAAATAAACATTCCTGTCTTACATGAACATATATACAAACTACAAATCAGTATGTTCTTTAATTTTTAAAAAAATATATAAGGAGGTCATTAAGAACACTGACAGGAATTAAGTCCTGACACCCATGGTTTAACATTTCAAATTCTTGATGATATAAAAGCAAACAAAATTTGTATTAGAGCTGATTTGAACCAAAACTGAGTCAGGAAGAATGCATTATGATTATCATTTTAGCAGGTGTTAGAGACCTCAAGAAAATGCAAAAATAGGTCAAAGAAAATAAAGTTTAGTCAAGTCCTAACCCCTAAATTACTGAAGAGAAAATTACAGAACAGTAGTGAGAAATGTCCACTGGCATATATACAGTTGTGAGCGATACTAAGCAGAAGCCATTATGAGGATTTTTTAGGCCTCCCTGGTGGTGCAGGAGTCTCGGTGCTATCAGGTGGTCACCAGCCATTGCAGCAGGAATCCTATCCCAGCCCATTTATGGCACAGCAGACCTCTTGTGTCTAGCTCACTACCCCCCTCAGCAGTGTATTTCAGTCAATTTGCCTGTTTTGCTCCCCACACTGGCCTCTGGTGAATCCTCTCCCCCACCCAGTCTAGCCTACACCCCAGTTCTTATATGAACAAATAAATCTATAAAAATGAGGATTCTTCATACATATTATTCAATAGTTCCATTCTAGTGCTATCAAATGATTTAGAAATTTGCATTTATAGAACCTTTTAAAAATAAATTTTAAAGGGGAGGGAAGAGCACAGGGACTATGGTGGTGGTTCACAGGTGAATTGGTGGTGGGATTTCTCTGGGGACTACATCTAAGAGGAGAAAGCAAATGTTATACAAATATACAAAAATGAACAATAAGGTATTATATATATATATGGGTATATATATACACAGCTAAATATATATATATATCTACACACACACACACACACACACACATACATACATATTTTTTAAAAGTAGCTTTATCTCAGGTATGTGAACTAAAACCCTGAACCAAACAGATGTTATAAAGTGCTGCCTAAAATGTAGCCAAGAGCAAAATCTCCCTTTTTTGCACTTCCTGGCCAGCTCTGTTGTCACATTCACCAGCATAGTACAACTCAAGTGAAAGGAATCAAAGCTGAACTTACTCAAGGGAATCTGTCCACTCAATTTACCAGTTTGTCTGTATCTAATTGGATATCAAGTCTCCTTAAGAAGCCTTCCTGTTTCTACTGATTTTAAAAATAATACAAATTCATCTTTAAATTTTACAGCATCACTTGGAATCCCATCACCCAACAACAGTCATTTAATAGTTTGGTTTTTTCATTTTGACCTTTTTGTGCCCTTGAATATAGATATACACTTAAAATATAGGAATCAAGTTCATATACAGATCTTTTTTAAAGACACTTGTTACATCATACATTTTCCTGTGTTCTAAAAATCCTTCTAAGCATTACTTATAAGTGACCTGTGTGACTCTGTAATGTACAGAATGTTTTCTTCGAGGTAGACTTTTAGGTAGAATGTAAACCTACCAGATGGTAGGCCCTAAAAGGTTCCCCTAGCATTTTAGACTTACTTCTTCCAAGTCCTCCAGTATCAGCACGAATTTCACTCACCCTTCTGGGTGTCAAAGGGGAGCCAGCAATACAAATTTCATCTGCTCTTTCCAGGTTCTGAGGTGGCATGACCTATAAAATATTGTTACACAGAGTATCACTATTCAAAAATGCTTTTTTATGAGAAATAAAATAATCTGAAGCATATGAAAACCACCTTGGTTCATCAGTTATTCTACCCAAGTAAAATTTGCTATCCTTTCCACTTTCATTCTAAAGTTTAAAAAAATTCTGGGCAGCCTGGAAAAATTTGAAATCCAATCATTGGATACAAAATATAAATCAACTTTCATTACCAATTTGGAGAATTAAAATATCAACTACTATAAAATACAGAAACACAATTAGGAAATCGAGAAAGAACAGAGAATTCTACTTGTCACTGAAACCCTGGAGTCATCATAAATTATTTCTGACTCAAATTTCCTCTTAGAGACAGAGGTGACTGCATCATTCTACCTCAGCTGCTCCCCAACCCCCCAGTAAGGAAGACACTGAGGTTAACTGCCCCCTGTGAGAAGATTCTGAATGGACTGTGTATTGATGTGCTGGTCACAGAAAGAGGACCCTGCTTTCCCTACCTCTTCACAGGTAGGCACTCTGTTTTCATTGTCTCTGATTCTTTCCCAGAGTGGAGACTCTGGTTTCCATGCCAGATGATCCAAGATCTGTTCTTCAATCTGATTAAGGTGTTTTACCACCTCTCTACAAAGGCCATCTTCTGCTCTAATAAATACTTCTATCACCTGAAATAAAGAAAATGCCCTAGTTTAATAGAGGTAATAAAATTTTACAAAATATATTTTATTAACTGTGAAAGCAAACTTGGCCAATTTATTCAAACATTTTCTGGATATTTATAGATACAACAAAGAAAATTTGTCAAAAATAACAAGTCTGAGATTAGCAGTATTCTGAAACAGCTGCTCTTCACTATTTCTTAATTAAAAATTATGCTTTCTTTCTTAAAGTTGAAAACACTGTAACAGTTTTCTATTTAAAAATTTTAAACATTCACTTTATGCCACCATAAAGTTTTAACTCCCATAGAGTTATGCTAAATCAGTATCAAAGAAACAATTACTAAATCAATGCTCTTACTTTGTGTACCTCAGTATAAGATATGAATGAGAATTTTTACTTTTCTATGAAATACTTTTGCATTACTTAATTTCCATAAAATAGGAGAGGATATTATATAACATTAGCTAATGATGTTTGCTACTTTAAGTCTTTTAGCTCATAGAATGCAGTATTCTAAAAGCCTTCATCAGATAAAAGGAGAAATCAATGAAGTCTTTACCCAAAACAGCTCTTTATATTTAAAAGAATCAGTATAATTCTTAAGGATCTATCTCTTTGCTCCTGAGAGTAGAGATGATTAAATGTATAATTAAAAATAGAAGGAATATACTTATTAGAAAAAACTAGGGGGCTAGTAACAGGAAATTTGTCTCATCTACATTCTCTTCATTATCAGATGTTAAAAGTTACCTTATAAAAATGATAAAGTGGCACATCAAATATTTCAGTAATGAACTGAAAATTCCCAGGAGGCTTATAAGAAAAAGTGACGACTTCAAGGCAACAGGCCAAGAGTGATCTGTGGAATGCATCTTGTTCCAGGATGCCCTATAAAATACAGTTGTTAACATACAGAAACATTAGCCTATTCTAATAAAACATTTCATACCCAAGTTAAATAAAAATATCAAAGCCTTTCCTTCCATGTGGAAAATATGTACCTATTTTCTTATAAAACATTTCTTTATAAGTCCATTTATTTTTGGAAAAAAAAAAAAAAGGCAAATGTGTAATAAATTTCAGAAACCGGCCCTCCCTGGTGGTGCAATTGGTTAAAGCACAGCACTTTAACCTATCTGCAGCCACTGCAGTATGAGTTCGATCCCTGACCAGGGAGGTGACCAACACAGCACAGCAGACCTCTCCTGGCCCACCAACTACTTCCCTCTGCAGTGTATTTCACAAGATCTATCTGTTCTGCTCCCCCCATTGTCTGGTGAATCCTCTCACCCCTGCACCTCTGGCCTGTACCCTAGTTCTTGTGTGCATAAATATTAAAATTTTTTTCAGAAACATCACATATTGTAAAATATAGCTAACAAATACATTCCTAACCACAATACATACAACTGATGCTCAGAAGAATAATATAGAAATATATCACAAAACCGTATTTACAGTAAGTGGATACTGTCATGAGGAAGGGAAGGCAGAGATAGAGGTGACTAGATGATCACGGACAGAAGTCAGTATGTTTATCACACATGACATAGTCACATGATATAAAAAATATTTTGCACATCATTTTTCAAAGTTACACATAAAATTTATTTCTGAATTAAAGTTAGACATTAAAAGAGATAAACAGGTCCTCCCTGGTGGTGCAGTGGGTTAAAGCACCGCACTATGAAGCTATCAGAGCCACTGCAGCACCAGTTCGATCCCCACCCCAGAGCTGATCCACATGGTGTGGCAGACCTCTCCTGACCTGCCCGCTGCTCCCCTCAGCAGTGTACTTCAGTACATCTCCCTATTCTGCTCCCCACTCTGTTTCTGGTGAATCCTTTCACCTCCCACATCTCTGGCCTATACCCCAGTTCTGTGTATAAATAAATCATTGAAAAAAAGAAAAAAAAATTGGTCTTCATCAAAATTAAAAATGATTAATGTAGCAAAGGAAACTAACAACTAAGTGAAAAGGCAAAGGAAACTAACAACTAAGTGAAAAGGCAGCCCACAGAGTCAGAAAAAATATTTGCAAACCATCTATCTATGAAGGGATTAAAATCCAGAAGACAAAGAATTCCCAGTTTGACAACTAAAAAGCAAAGCTGGGTAAAGGAATTGAATGAACATTTCCTCCTAAAAGACAGAAAAAGGGCTAGCAAGCACATGAAAAGATGCTCAAGTCCAATCATCAGGGAATGCAAATCAAAGTGCCATAAGGTAGCATTCTGCATCCATGACCATGGATATTATAAAACAATGGTAACAAGTGTTGCAAGAATGTGAATAAGCTGGAATCCTGATATACTATGGATGGTAGAGCACTGTGAAAATATGTTTAACACGGAAAGTCAAACATATAATCACCATGGGATTCAGCAACGGCGCTTTTAGCCCTCTACCTGAAGAACTGAAAGCAGGCACTCAGACACTTGTGCACAGTGCTTCACTGTTACTCGTATTAGCCAGAAGGCAGAAAAACAACCAAATGTCCATCAGTAGAAAGATGAATAACAAAATGTCCGGTGATATATAAATACAATGAATATTATTCAGCCTTCAAAAGGAATAAAATTCTGATACATATTATAAAAACATTATGCTATGTGAAATAAGCCAGACATAAAAAAAAACACTTATATGAAGTATGGAGAATATATAAGTATCTAGAAACAGAAAGTAATCAGAGCTTATCAAGGGCTGGAACAGGAAGCAAATGGAGAGTCATTATTTCATGAGTGCAGATTTTAGATTTCAAAGTTGAAAAAGTTCTGAAGATGGGTAGTGGTGATGGTTGCAAAACATGTCAATCTACTTAATGTCATCAAATTGTGCAACTGAAGATGGTTAAAATAAATTTCATGTTCAATTTTATCACAATAAAATTTTTTTAAATATTTATTTATTCATACAGAACTGGGGTACAGGTCAGAGATGCAGAGGGTGAGAGGCTTCACCAGAGACAGAGTGGGGAGCA